TCACCATCAAAAAATAAAACTGCATCGTTGTCCTTATCCCTGTAATCTTCACCAACGCCCTCAAAAATCACCTTAAGTTTTCCCTGCTGATTGTTTTGAAATTCTACCGTAACCCTGTTATCCTTGCTCTTGTGGAGTAAGCCAGGTTGGTTACGATCAATAGAAGCTGGTTTAAATTCATCTGGGAAAAAAAAAAAAAAAAAGAGAGAAAACATATCAATAGCGTCAGAGCATCTACTATACAACAAAACCCGACTACTTAAACCCTTATGAAAATGATCCTTTGAGCTTGATTCAGATGATTCCCTCAGATGTTAGCCTACCAAAAAACCATTGAAACATAATCTTCTCTTTTTTCTCCAAAAAGCAATCTTGGCACCCAAAAAAATAAAAATACTAATATCCAATTGTCATTTTCTAAGTATAAACTGTTTTAACACTTCCAAACTAACATAAATCTAAAATTTACAATCTCTACTTGCTCCCTTGAGCTCACTCTTAACGTTTTAGAAACCAAAACAACATTACACCTACACAAAGCTCAAATTATTTTTTTCATTTTTTACTTAGTTTTCCCCTTAACCAAATACAACCCAGAAAATATTTTGAGCTTTCTTGAAGAACACAGAAGTACTTACAACGTAAAGTGCAGAACTTGGGAGATTGACCATTGTAGTGGTGGTCTCTGAAGGAGGAGCCAAGCGTAATGTTGTACCAGCGATCAGACGCTGGAGCAGAGCTTGGCTCTTCATTGTTGTTACCCATGGTTGAAAACTTTCCAATTCATGAAATAAAGGACAATTGGAGCAGAATTCAACCCTAGAATTCTAGGGTTTTTTTCTGGTGAGTTGCAGATGGCAGTTGCCAGTTGCAGACAAGTCAGAGAAGGGAGTTTGTGGGTAGAGGGTAGTTTGGTCTTTCAGAGTAGTGGAGTTCGTTAATCAGTTGCTTCTGGCAGCGGGTTTACGTTTAATTTTTGTATTAAATTGATGTAAGCACATCATTTTATCACTTTAAAGCAAAAATATTATTTTAGTTTGAGTAAACGACCTGATCCCACCCAAGGTTTGGCTAAATGGTAAGTTTCCAACCTTACTTTCATAAATTCTAAATTCTTACCCTTAAATTAATATAAAATTATTTAATAAAATGGTGATAGAGTAAATTGGCCATTTCCACTGTAATAAATATGAAATAAAAATAAAAATTTTAAAATAACCCTTTACATCTCAAAATCAACAAAGTGTCAGCGTCGCTGTCGCCATCGACGATAGTTTGGAATTGGTTCAGATTGATTTTCTCACCAAAATCGATAAAAATCATCACCTTATTATTTTCCAAGTGTTTTTAAGGCTTGATAGCTCTCAATTTGGCCAATTTTTGCAACCCAGCTCCATCACATGCGACAGCCATTCCGGCCTATACCCAACATTGTTGGCCTTCCCCGACACCACCATCTTCCTCCCCTCAGCCCTTATACCAAAACCCCTATGACCAGGGGCGGATTCAGCCCCTTTGAGGGTAGGCCCTCATATTTGAAAAAAAAAAATTATTAATATACAGGCCATAAAAAATTGTTAATTAACATATATACCCAGACGCACCTTCAAATTTTTAAAAAATAAGAATTATTATACATACTGTATATCTAGGTCTAAAAAAAAACTTGTTATTAATATATATATATATATATATTCCAAGCCCACATCATATTAAAAGTTTAAAATTCTCTCCAGTGTTTTCCTACACAGCTTTATTTGTTTTTTTATGATTTTATCCGCAAATTCTTTACTCTCTCTTTCTCTTTCTCATGTTATTCTCTTTTAAAATTTTTGAATACTGAAATTGTTAAATTTTCACTACTCAAAGTGTCATTATTAGCTCCGTTTTTTGTTTTATAAATTTTAGGTATGTGTATTGTTCATTTCAATTTAGTTTATTTAAGGATTGAATCATTTTTTTTCTTTTTAAGGTTTTTTATTCTAATTTGAGAGAAAAATATATTAATCTTGTGAGTTTATTTTGTATTTTCTGTTTAAGAATGAACATGCTTTCTCAAATTAAAACCTTAACTATATTTTAAAAGACGTTATTCTTTATCATTCACTCACCACTTTCCTATATTTTAAACGTCACCGTTCAGTTATTCAAAATTATTAAAGAAATTTGAGCTACTATCTATGTTTATATTAAAAAAAATTTCCCTCTTTTATTAATTCATATTAAAAGTCAACGTAACGTTGACTTGATTTAAGTTTTGACTGATTTTAGCTTAATTAGACTAAGTTTAACCAATGCTATGAAAATTTATATTATTATATTTGAAAGCCAAAATTAAAAATATTAAAAGAAGGTTTTGTTCAAGGTTTACTCAACACTTTTACTCAAAATTTTGCTTCTCATAGATTTATTCAAGTAAGAAAATATTGTATTAATATATATTCTTTTTTCTCAGGTTCTTAATATTATATTATTATTTTATTAAGATTTGGTGATTTTTTAAAGTTTTCACTAATTATTTGGCAAATAATGGCCGAGCCGCGGAGGCCCCCCCTCGGAAAAAATCCTGGATCCGCCACTGCCTATGACACCTTACTCGTTTACTCTGTCAATCGTCGACCACCATCGAAAATAACCCCTGTCACCACCCTTTGCTTCTTCGACATCTGATCTCCAAAATCCCTCACCAACCTAACCCCGTTAGTCTGTCGGTCATTGTCCAACTTTTCTTAAGGTTTTGTTTTTTTTTTTTAATAAAAATTGAAGAAAAGGGTGTTATTGAAAGATATTTGAAAGTAAGATTATTTTTTTCTAATTCTATTAACTTGGGGGTTAAAAAGTAATTTATTTATTTATTTATTAAAGGCAGTATGATAATAACATTTATATACTGTGTCAAAACCCAAAAATACTAACGGGGTTAACTTAAGGGTGAGAAACTGGAATTTATGAAACTATAGGCGGGAACGTAGATTCGCCAAACCTTGGGTGGGTAAATGTCGTTTACTCTATTAATTTTAATTAACAATAATACAATATTAACTATTAACAATATTTATTTATTTATCTATTATTTTAATTGTCTTAATAAGTAAGAGTACAAATAAAATCATTTCATTTGGATACATTCATACAAACATATTTATAATAATATTTTAAATCACAACAATAATAATAATTATTATTATAGAGATAAAATATAATAATAGGTTTGAAGTCCAAGTAAAAATAACCTAAAATGATAAAATAAAACAAGGTTAAAGAGTGTTGAATAAATAAATTAAGACATGGTAACTCTTAAAAGTTACTAATTCTGAGTTAAATGTAATTCATAGATTTGGAAAGATTTAGGTTACAATCTTAACAAAATCTGTTCTTGGAAGAATTATTTTTAAAATATGGGAAT